ATTGTTGATCTTGTAATATATTGAAGAAGAAAAAAAAAAAGTTAAACAAAGGGAACAAAATGCTAGAGCAGGCATAGGCAACCTTCGGCACTGCAGATGTTTTGGACTACACCTCCCTTGATGCTTTGCCAGCATTATGGGCGTAAGAAGTCCACAACATCTAGAGAGCCAAAGGTTGCCTACCCCTGTGCCAGAGAGACGGGGCATTACAATGACATAAGGGAGATAGAGTAACAAAGGGTTGGGGGACAGAGAGTAACAGTGAATTATGGGGTAAAGTGATACAGGGCTAGGGGTGTAGAGTGACAAGGTGATAGCAGGATTGCGTATTAGGGGGACAGAGTGACACAGGGCTAGTGGGACAAACTGATACATGTCTAGGTAAGCAGTGTATTAGGAGGACAGAGTGACACAGGGTTTATTGGGCAGGAGATTAGGTGAAAGAGTGACACAGGGCTAGGACACAGTGACCCATGGTTAGAGGGCAGGGGGACAGTGACAGAGCTACGGCGGCAGGGGATTAGGGAGGCAAAGTGACATAGTAATAGGGGGTAGTGATTAGGGGAACAGAGTGACAGGGCTGTGGGCAGGGGATTAGGGGGAGAGTTACACAGAGCTAGGGGATAGGGGATTAGAGGGACAGTGACACAGGGCTACGGGGGCAGAGGATTATGGGGACAGAGTGACACAGTAATAGGGGGCAGGGATTATGGGGACAGTGACACAGTAATAGGGGGCAGAGGATTAGGGGGACAGTGACACAGGGCTGTGGGCAGGGGATTAGGGGGACAGAGTGACAGTAATCGGGGGCAGTGATTAGGGGGACAGAGTGACAGTAATCGGGGCAGTGATTAGGGGGACAGAGTGACAGTAATCGGGGGCAGAGATTAGGGGGACGGAGTGACACAGGGCGAGGGGGACAGAGAGACACAGGCCTGGGGAGGACGGGGGCAGAGTGACCCAGGGCCTGGGAGGGGCAGAGTGACCCAGGGCCTGGGGGGGGCAGAGTGACCCAGGGCCTGGGGGGGGCAGAGTGACCCAGGGCCTGGGGGAGGGGTGAGGGCAGAGTGACTCAGGGCCTGGGGGAGGGGTGAGGGCAGAGTGACTCAGGGCCTGGGGGAGGGGTGAGGGCAGAGTGACCCAGGGCCTGGGGGAGGGGGGGCAGAGTGACACAGGCCTAAGGGGCAGGGAGGCATAGTGACACAGGCCTAAGGGGCAGGGAGGCAGAGTGACACAGGCCTAAGGGGCAGGGAGGGGCAGAGTGACACAGGCCTAAGGGGCAGGGAGGCAGAGAGACACAGGCCTAAGGGGCAGGGAGGGGCAGAGTGACACAGGCCTAAGGGGCAGGGAAGGGCAGAGTGACACATTCCTAAGGGGCAGGGAGGGGCAGAGTGACACATTCCTAAGGGGCAGGGAGGCATAGTGACACAGGCCTAAGGGGCAGGGAGGCATAGTGACACAGGACTGGGGGGAGGGGATTAGTGGTACAGTGATACAGGGCTAGGGGTCAGGGGATTATTGGGACAGACTGAAACAGGGCTAAGGGAAAATATGACAGGGAATTAAAGGCTCTAACCCCACTCTGTCTTGATAGCCATGTGTCACCTTTCCCCCTAATTGTCAGAGCTATAGGGGAACAAAGTGACACACAGCTAGAGGGATGGGGTAATGAGGGGGTCAATTTAAATATTTGAAATGCGGCTTTCCTTACCTGCTCACTGGTGATGCTGCCAGGCCCATCAGCCGCTCTGTGTGTGTCCTGTCCAGGTGCAGCAGTGACTCAATGCAGGGAAAGCTGCACACTGGGCCTGAGCTCAGTTCAACTGAGACCGCCGGGGAGTTGGAATGCAGGGAGGAGGAAGTGCCCCGCCCATCAGTCTCCGCTGACCTATCAGAGCAGAACTGGGAACTGGGCAGCAAATCAGGAGCAGGAAATATTTTTAAAATGTGAATAACAGGCAAAGGGCCAAGGATTCGGATTTTTGCGCCCCCCCTTGTGTTGCGCCCTAAGGCGGCCGCCTGTGCCGCCTTATGGACGCGCCGGCCCTGACAGGGCGGTATAGTAGTTTGCAAATTCATTACAGATGTCTTTAGGTATCAGTTTCTTCTCTCCTGTTGGGGTCAGGAGATAAGCTATTTATTGATTCGCCCTTTGTTCCTGTAGCCTCCTAACTAAGAGCTTGCTGGCTTTGTTCCCCTGTGTGTATTGCCTCGTTTTTAATCTCTGGAGCATGTACCCTGTCTGCTCTAGTGCGTGTTGGTGTAGTTTGTTCGTGAGAATGGAGATTTGCAGTTTCAGGTCAGGGGATGGTGAGATTTGGTTACGGGTATTCAGGTGGTGTAATTCTCTTCTCCATTGCGTGAGTTGGGCCGGGGATTGTTTGCGCAAGTATGCTGCTCGTTTTATAAATAACCCTCTAACTATTGATTTGTGTGCAGCCCATATTGTGCTCTGGGGCATTCCCGGGGTGGCATTTTCTTTAAAGTAGGTGTTCAAAGCCTCTTCCACCTCTTTCTTAAATGTAGGGTCATTTAGCAAGGAAGCATTTAGCCTCCATGGGCTACGCTGTTTAAAATCGTACTGGTCCCTGACCGTCAGTGTAACCGGGGCGTGATCTGTCCAGGTAATCTGGCCTATGTCACAGTTTGTAATTTGATTTAATCCCTGACCATGTAGTAGAATCCCATCAAACCTCGAGTATGTGTTATGGACATGTGAGAAATGTGTGTATGCCTTCTCCGAGGTGTGGGTTACCCTCCATGTATCGTAATAATGGTGGCGACTGAGGAGTTTCTGTATCTGTTTGCACTGCCTGTAGAGTATTCTATACCTTGGGCTGTGTCTTGAAATGTTAGTGTCTAGTTTTGGGTCCCAGACATGGTTAAAGTCCCCACAGACAATGGATATCCCTTCTTGCATGGTGTCTAATTTGCGAAGTAGATGTTTTAGGAACTGACCTTGCTTCGTGTTGGTTGAGTAAATACCATATATACTCAAGTATAAGTCTAGTTTTTCAGCACATTATTTGTCCTGAAAAACCCCCACTCGACTTATACTCGAGTCAGTGTCTGTATTAAGGCAACTTACATTGCCATAATACAGACCAGGGCCGCCGGGCTCATTACAAGCCCGGCGGTCCTGTTGGGGGCTGGCAGATAGCTGTTACTTACCTTCCTGCAGCTCCTGTCAGCTCCCTTCTCCTCCACTGTAAGTCTCGCGGTGTGAGTGCCGCGCGGAGCATTGCCACGGTAATCCGTGGCAACGCTCTGACCCCGCGGCTCTCGCGAGACTTACAGTGGAGCTGACCGGGCTAGAGGAGAGGGGAGCTGACAGGAGCTGCAGGAAAGGTAAGTAACAGCTCTCTGCCAGTCCCCCTCTTACACAGCCCATCCACTGGACCACCAGGTAATGAGAGCCCCCCTCCCTGGCCAGCTAACAAGCAGGGAGGGGGAATGAAAATAAAAATTAAATAAAAAAATAATATTACAATACATTTTTTTAAATATTAACATTAAAAAAGTAAATAATGGGGCGGGGCCTGACAGCCAAGATGGCCGGTCGCACAGTCTAAGAGCTCCTGTAATAAAGAGCATAAACTGGCTACCACAGAGCGACCTATCCACGATGGCAACAAACAGCCAAGACACCATGAGACATAGAATGGTACCGGTCCGGTCCCGATGCGATGCAGAGAAACCCGCGACGACCATGCGGCCTTCGGCAGAGCAAAGCCTGAGGTCCGGGAGAGGCGGCCGCTCACCCGGCACAGGACACACTCACGAGCGAGATTTCCACACAGCCCTGCTACCCCCCCTCTGGACCGGCGGGGGATATCCCGGTCCTCGCTGGGGGCGACTACCCCCACAATATTGCCTGACCAAGCGACGATGTCTAAAGCAAAACGGAGAGAGCAAGGCCCAAACAAGATGGCGGCACAGAAGCAGCCTACAATTACGCGCCCACTCACTGAGCCTCCCAAGCATACACGGGAGTTTTTTGACCGGCTCCGAACCAGCCTCTGGACACAGCTTAATACACGGAGACTGACCTTCAAGCAGGTGATGAGAGCAGTAGCGGGATGGATCCGCCCGGCACTCCGCCGCCAGCTGGGAGTAAACCCCCCTAGAGCCAGAACGGCCCCCAGACAGAGCCGGAGCAGAAGGCCACCACAGCGGGAAACGGTGCAAGATTGCCTGGTCACCGGCACCAACGCCCCCACGCACCAATTCGAAATCCGCCGGTGCACCCGACCCACTCGCCCTACAGTGGCTCCAGAGACCTATGCCCAGTATGACATGCTGCCGCACAGGAGAACCCATAGAACAGGCCGCAACACCGACCAGGAGACAGGGGGGTCGGCTACCCTGGAGAAGCCATCAGCCTGCAATCAGACCATCTCTAAACGGGGCATCGGCTGAAACAAACACTGGACCGAATACCTGAGGCGGACGGCCGCCGGCTGCACTGGACACTGAGAGCCGTAAAACGCACTCAAAAGCCGGTGATTTCCCCCTCCATTGACTAACGCACTGTGCAACCTGCCAGTACCCTTTATTTGCTTTAATCGGATATGTTTTACACGCTTAGTCAGCCTACTGTAACTCTAGGCATCTCACTTCTTCATATGTTAATGTAGCCTTAGTGTATATACCTAGATCCGCAGTCTAGCCTGCTTACCATGCATGCACTAATGAGCATTTGCCTCACAAGCCAGACACACTAGCACAGGTTACTAACCTAGGTCAGACATGTAAATTTACCTCCTGTACCCACAACGCTGGCTAATGCGACCTACATTTACCAATAACCTGATCTACTCAATACTTTTAAGTTTGAATCCAAGTTATCTCCACATGACTATGCCTAAAGCTGGCAAATGTGTGCAAATGTATGCAATTTACCTTTTTTCTGATGTACCATAAAATAGGGCAATGTTTTGCTTTACATCGTAGTCAGCATAGGGTAATCTAGCCCTCACATAATCTGTTACATCGGAAAGGTAACATTCGCTCCATAGCATCTTAATCCAGTTTAATACAACAAATCAAAAAAAAAAAAAAAGATTCAATTAAGCGACTCACAAAACCGAATCAACCACACTAGTTTGCTGGTATAGTCACCGTTACACTAGACACAGCATCTTAATTTTATTCCAGGAGCAGAAGTTAAGCAAAGATTTTATTTTATGTTATGAACATGCTTAAGTAATGACAATCGATACTGTATACCGCATAACTAAACCTTATAAAAATGTGCAAGATCAATCCTGTACCTCTATGTTTAACTGTTTTATAATGCGCTGGAAGATTGCCTTTGGGGTACTTCCCAAGCGATTGTACTAAACTTAGGCACTACAAAAATAAAGAATTAAAATAAAAAAAAAGTAAATAATAAAATAAAAAATACTAAAATAAAAAATTAAAATATTAAAATTAAAAAAATTTTAAATAATAAAAATGCCCTCCCCCACCCAGTTCACAAACAAACGCACACTCATACAAACACACCCTCTGCATTGTATATACACACACACACACTGCATTATATACACACTCATACAAACACACACTCTGCATTATACACATACTCATACAAACACACACTCTGCATTATATACACACACACTCTGCATTCACACAAACACACACACTCTGCATTATATAATGCAGAGTGTGTGTTTGTATGAGTGTGTCCGTATATAATGCAGAGTGTGTGTTTGTATGAGTGTGTATAATGGAGATTGTTTGTATGAGTGTGTGTGTATAATGTAGAGTGTGTGTATGAATGTATAATGCAGTGTGTGTGTATAATGCAGTGTGCATGAGTGTGTGTATAATGCAGAGTGTGTGAGTGTGTGTAATGCAGAGTGTGTGTATGAGTGTGTGTGTGTATGAGTGTGTGTGTGTGTGTGTGTATAATGCAGAGTGTGTGTATAATGCAGTGTGTGTGTATATAATTATAAAAATCACAGAATTTCATAGCCCCAAGTTTTACCCTCGACTTATCCACGAGGTATAGCATATTTCACAATTGTTGGTCACAAAACTGCACTCGACTTATACATGAGATCGACTTATACACGAGTATATACGGTACTCGTTATTGTGTACGTCATATTATAAATATGGCATTTTAAGATTATATACCTCCCGTTTTTGACAATGTCTGTGGAAAGCATGGTAAATGCCACCTTCCTAGAGATCAGTATGGACGTCCCCTTGGATTTGGTGGGGGATGTCGCATGGTATTGGTGTGGATATGCCGTTGCTGATGGCGGTATATAGTTGCCATTTTTATAGTGCGTCTCTTGGAGACAAATGATGTCTATGTGTTTGAGCTCTCTATGCAGCTGGTGTCTTTTAACCGGTAGGTTTAACCCTCTGACATTTAGAGAGTAGATTTTCATGGGGGTTTATCAGTTTAGTTAGGGTTGTAGCAAATGATGAGTTCCAGTATGGGATGTTCGCTCGCCCCAGCAGCATCAAGTCGAGCGACCTTCCCCTAATAGAGGGTAAGATTTGGGCATCTCGCTCGCTGGGTTAGGGGTAGTTGGGTCTTGAGGGGTACCTTCACACTTTTATAGGCCCACTGTGCGTGGCCTGCTGTATGAAAGACTTGTGTGTACTTGGGGTGGGATGTGCTCTGTCTGGCCCCATCTAGACCAAGGGGGGTCGGGTAGTAAGGTAAGAACAGGGATAACAGGTAAAACAAATTAAACAAATACATTGGGTCTGCCTTATACGGCGTAGGTACTACTTGGTACCTGTGGGGGTGGAAGTGTTAGCTGCCTCCCGGTAGGGTGCACTCCCCAAGTTGACCCACTCAACAGCTTTTAACTTGGTTGTGGCGAAATTTGGTATGGCTTTACATTCTGTATGGTGCAACCTATATAACGCTATATAACCTTTTTTTTTTTTTTTTTTTCGCTTTTACGTTAATTTTCAGAGGGTTGCATTATATAACTGTAACATAACTTTTCAACATGGTTTAACATTTATACGATACCCTTGAGGTTACTCTAAGGTCTGTCACTCAGGACCTTCCTTTCAACAGTCATTTGGAGGAGTCTTTCTGGATCATAGTCTCTATGGCTCCAGCCTTCATGTTAGGTTTTTAGACTTTCGCCCGTCCATGGCATTGCTGTTAGATCTGTGCGGGCTTCGGCATTGGGTCTGCTCCGTTAGTCCCCACCTTTGCAGCAAACGGGTTCCCTCTTCCGGTGAACTTATGGCTGTCATCTTTCCTCCTCTGGTTACCAACACCTTCACCAGGTACCCCCAGCGGTATGGTATTTTGTTTAGCAGTTCCGTAACTTCCTTAAATTCTCTTCTCCTTTTTAATGTGAATGTCGATATGTCCGCAAACACCAGCACGCCTCCATATGGCTCTGGAAGTGTCTTCTTTGCGCGGCTTGTCAGAAGCACTACCTCTTTTACATGATAGTAATGCATTTTTATAAGCACGTCTCTTGGAGTGTGTTGGGGTAGAAATCTTGTTGTTCTATGGTAATGGTCCATTAGTAGCTGGTAGTGATGTCCTGAGCGGTTCGCCGCGGACGGCGAACATATGCGGTAAACTTTGACCCTGTACCTCACAGTCAGCAGACACATTCCAGCCAATCAGCAGACAATCAGCAGCAGACCCTCCCTCCCAGACCCTCCCACCTCCTGGACAGCATCCATTTTACATTCATTGTGAAGCTGCATTCTTAGTGAGCTGTCCAGGAGGTGGGAGGGTCTGGGAGGGAGAGTCTGCTGCTGATTGGCTGGAATGTGTCTGCTGACTGTGAGGTACAGGGTCAAAGTTTACCGCATATGTTCGCCGTCCGCGGCGAACCGTTCGGCGAACTGTTCGGGACATCACTAGTAGCTGGTCTTGTGGGATATCAGGTGCCAGTGCTTTGAGTAGGCCATATAGGTGAGTTGCCAGCTCTGCTGGTCCTATCTCCTCCCTGTGATAAGGTGAATGGGGTGGTCTGTGACGGAGTTTATATTTCATCTGCATTGTTCAGAGAGGCATATGATCTTTAACCCCAGGGGGAATATGTGTATGTATGTAACTTAAATGCATATGGAGAGAAGGGTGGGTCAGTACTCCACTCCACTGTTTATTGTTTTCTCTTGGGAGACTAGGTCCAGACCAGGCTTTGGACTGTCTCCAACCCACTGCTCAGCTGCAGGTAATCAGTTGCAGCAGTGGGAATAAACCCCTCCCTGCTAGGCAGGTAGATGAGAATGTTTATTTCTCTCTTGAAGGGCTGGAAGCAGCAGGCTGTCTAAAACACTAGGTTGGTGAAAGCATTTCTTGTTTTGTTATAGTTTAAACCCTTGAATGAGAGGGAACTTCATGTTAGTGCTCAGACCGAGCTAGTCTTTTGTTTATAGGGCTTTGTTACATTTTTGTTTTTCATGTGCTGCTGTCTTTGTGGAGAAGCTCAACAATAAAGTGCCTGGACTTAAGTTACTTAAGACTGTTAAGACTGTGCATGTTTGTACCCAAAAGGACCGTGCTAACTGCAGACAAGGATCACAATATGGTGGAGAATGCGGGCAATGTTAGCACATAGAGGGTCTGTGGGCGTGCCAGTCATCTGTAAGCCTGCTTATTGAGGACTTTTGTTTGGCATACCTGTTAAAGGCACAGCGCAACTGTATGTTTAAGACTGTTATCTGCCAGGTACTAAAATGGAGTATATCTACGTGCTCAAAAAGAGAGGGGATAGTACCACCAGACGGTACCAAAAAGCGCAAGTGATTTGAGCCTATCCTTATTTGGGCTCTGGAATATGTGAGTTGGCACTTCTCAAGACTTCTATATAGTTCCATATGATTATACAGATTTACACTATTATCTTTTCTGTATATGTTTTTTCTCTTTATTGTATATATGCTGAATTGGAAGTGATTTTATTACAACATTAGGACCAGATGACCCTTTAAGTTGGGTAGGTGCCTGTTATTATCACTATATGCTCCACTCATATAGGTGAATTGCTTTTGGCTTTTCTACCTTTTCCTACACTAAAATGGAGGACCTACTGAAGGCTCTGGTACAGGCAACCGCTGCACAACAAGAGGCAACTGCTGTACAGCAAGACACAAACCGTTTATTGGCTGCGCAGGTTGAGAAGCTAAGGGACGTTCAGCAGGAGGATAGAGCTGTCCTTACTGAGGTTTTGCAGAGAGTGTTATTGCCATGCGCTGGGGACCCACTTGGGGTCAGGGGATCCCGGATCCGAGCAACTGACTTCATGCATAAAATGACAGAGGCAGATGATGTGGAGGCTTACCTCACGACTTTCGAGAGGGTTGCTGCCCGGGAAAAGTGGCCATCAGACCAGTGGGCGGGGCTTCTAGCTCCATGCCTGAGGGGGGAGTACCAGAAAGCCTATGAATATTTGTCTTCGGACCAGGCCCAAGATTATAAGCTTTATAGAGCTTTTTAAAGACTGTGCATGTTTGTACCCAAAAGGACCGTGCTAACTGCAGACAAGGATCACATCCCCCACACTGCGGATGCGCAAGTTGTTGCGGCAGGCCCTGTCTTCCATGTCTGCTATCTTTATCTCATACATGTGCATTTGGCTATGGAGCCCTGCAATCTCCTCCTCCATTCCTCTCTGGGCCCCTGACAGTTTCGCCATTTTAGTTTCAGTGCCCGCCGTCCTCACCTCCAGTTCTTGTATGTCTTTGTGTAATTCTCCCATAGTTGCTTTGAGGCTGTTCTCTATTGGTGCCGACATTTCTTCTAACATTGTCCGCAGCAGCTCCTTTGTGAGAGGAGCCTCTCTATCCTGGTGCGTGCGGTGTCTTTTCTCCGTTTCCTCTGCGCCATCTTGGGCTTCTTGCTGCAATGAAGCTTGTTTCCCCTGCGGCGTCCGAGATGTGAAAAAGACACTTTTCTCTGCCTTGTCTGCTGACTTTTTGCTTTTAGCTTGAGACAGTCTCGATAGGGTTGTATGCTGCCCCTTATTTTCACGTCTTTTTCGTCAAATTTCTCCTTTGTGGGTTCCGTCGGAGCGGAGCGCTCAGCACATGCGTCCGTTCAGTCTCACCGCCAGGACACGCCCAGAATTTTCCACTTCTTAAGAAGCGACTAAACAGTACTGACTGGCATTTTCAAGGTTTTGGATCCTTTTATATCCTGTTCCATTATCTTGTTACGCAGGTCTTTTGACAGTTCTTTTCTGCTCCCCATGGCTCAGTTTCTAGCCTGCTTAGTGTATCCACGTGAGAGCTAATAAATTCATTGACTATTTATACACTTACACTAATTGCAATTTAAAAAACTACAGATGTGGGACATTAACATATAAATGCCATTTTAACCTTTTGTGTGTCACTTTGTGAGTCTGTAAAAAGGCCAAACATTCAAGGCTATGTAAACTTTTGATTAGGGCCATTTGGGTGATTTCTGTTATTGCAATGATTTTAAAAAAAGAGCCAAACAACTATGTGAAAATAAATGGCTTCATATGGTCACTATCTTTCAATAAAATACTTTTATTTTCCTTTTGCATGATCAGTCATATTTTCCAAATCAATGCCAAAATTTCACAATTTCTGCCAGGGTATGTAAACTTTTGAGCACAATTGTGTTTTATGTGTTTTGATATGACTTCTAACATTTATTTCTTTTGAGTAGATTGTTTGTTTGTTTTTATTGACAGATCACAATAAGGGATCTTTGTGTAAATCGATTTTTCATGTATCCCTTCATTGGAAAATATAATCATAGTGGAACACAACTATGGAGGCTTCTGAACTATATAGAAACAAGTAGGACACATTTGTTTGAACATGAATGGACAGATTACTTGTAACGCATCACTAAGCGACCTTGGGACCGCACGGAACTACACACGATACATCTATTGAAACGCAAACTGGAAGACCACTTTGGAACGCACTGATATTTAATTGTTTATAACAAATGGCTGGCCTGCTCCATTCCTCCTCCCCCTGCTTGCAACTCCCAGTTGTAAATTCCTTTAACCCCTTAAGGACACATGACATGTGTGACATGTCATGATTCCCTTTTATTCCAGAAGTTTGGTCCTTAAAGGGTTAAAGTACAGTAACTGTCTTATCTCTCTTTCTTAGACCCAAACCATCCATCCCTGCAACATGAAGGCCATTTAATTTTACTCAGTGCTTAGAGGGCAACTACTAAATAAAATAAAGAACTAAATAAAGCATATAAAGAAATAATATGGAAATAAGGCAGGGGTTACTCAGATTAAGCATTTCAAATATGCAAATTAATGCTCAAAAGTAACCGAATGCTCAAAATTAACCAAATGTGGATTGAATTTGAATGATAAAATTCCATTTTCAATTTATTTATTTTTTACACCATTTTTCCTCAAATCTGATTGCATGGTCGACTATTTGGTCAACTAATTTTTTATTTTTTTTTGCCAAACAAAATTTTCCCACTGTACAGTCTACATGTAATTCAAATGCTGGCGTTTTTGTTTCTGACAAGACTCTAACTTTGCTGTATTCAGCCTGAAAAAATTTATCAAATCCAAGGTTTGAAGGATTTGGTCCAGATTCCACCTGACCAGTTGTATGATTAAAAATAATAATTTCCTCTGTATGCAGACAGATGATTTTGCCCTATTCACATTAGGACTTTAACGGAAAAAAACCAAAAGTAGCTCACTCGCCACCACAGTTTTTCTGGTATACAAATAAGGTGAGAGGGACTGAAATAATGGCAAAACTGTGACGAGGCAGGAGCTGAGAACATCAGCCTGCCAAGAGCCAGGGTTGCACTGCCATCAATCTCAGACAACCATGGATCATAAGATTAATGAATCATGCAATTTTCTGTGTCATTTCAATTGTTTTGTATTTTTTTATCTATATATTTGCATGTTAAATATGCTTACATGAATATTTAGTGGCACGGTTGTTTTTGGAATTTAAACAGTTTTGTTTTGTTTTTTTGGTAAAGGAAAAACTTCCGTATGGACTACAAGGATACTAAAGTGCAAGAGTATTTTTATACTCGTCCGATACCAAGTCAGCAAAGAATTTCTAAAAGTATTCATTTTTTAACAAATTACCTAAACAAGGCAAAGTTCATTCCCCAGTCTTTCTCATTGGCTCTTAAAGGATTAACCCCTGGGGGCGTGGCCTAACCACAGAAGCGAACAGTCGCATGGCCTCTGAGCTCCGGCTAAACTACGGACAAAACCCTAAAAATAGAGGTGACCCGCAACCAAACAACACCCAAGTAACCCCCACTGTATACCTCATGGGCAAGAAAACCAAAAAACTAAAGCCCGACCGACCCCGGCAGGGACACAGCATCGGAGACCTCTGGCGGCAGGCACATGGCGCCCAAGAGAGTAAGATGGCGTCCCTCCTTGGAGGATGCTCTGACTTCTCCGACGGGGCTTCGGAGGAAGAAGAGGGAAGCCTCACGCCAGCAATGGTGCGGCAACCGGCAGAACGAGCGGCACCCCTGCACCGGACACCCGACACCGGCCCGGTGACACTAACGGCCATCAGGGAGATCATGGCGGACCTCCAACTGAAAATCTCGGCGGACGTGGCCTTGATTCGGGAGGATCTGCGAGGCCTGACGGGCCGCCTCGGTGAGGTAGAACACAAAACACAAAACCATACACAACAAATTAAAGAGCTGGAAAAAAGGGTGGAAGAGCTCACACAACAGGGCACTGCCTATGAAGGCAGATTCGACACCCTAGAAGACAAGCGGAGACAGAAGAACATAAAACTCAGAGGAGTCTCCGAGACAGTTCCACCTGAGGAACTCCCCCATTTTGCTAGACGACTCCTAGCAGCTATACTCACACCAAAACAGGCTAAGGCAGTGCCTCTGGAAGGCATATTCCGACTTCCAAAACCAGCCAAGGCACCACCCACAGCCTCAGGCGACCTAGTGATGCAATTCCAGGGTCTCAGGGACAAAGCAGCCGTGATGACAGCCATCAGAGGGCAAACACCATACAACTTTGAAGGGATGTCCATAACCTTCTTTGCGGATCTCTCCGGGGGAACCCTCGCCTGGCGACGGTCACTCCGACCTCTAACCTCCCTCCTACGCAAGAAAACTATCAGCTACCGATGGAGCCAGGCTCGGACGCTGCTGATCAAAAGCGGTGAAACCACCATTACCATACGAGACCTGCCAGATGCAACACACCACCTGCAGGCACTGGGCCTCCCCCCGGATTCGCTGGGCCCGACAAACCCTCATGGCTGGGATCCTGCAGCCACCCGTGACTTTATACCCAGGGACACAGCTTCAGCCCCCCGAGCTAGGGCCACGACCTGAACCCAGAAGATCGGGTTGACTCCCGGACGACACCCAGAGAGGTTGCCCTATCTCCACCACAATACTCACCCAACGTTGCCAATACATCCCCGCACCAACTAGGCCACTCACATACCGATCAGACGACCTATGCCCACACCCGACTCGTACAGACAGATACCTAGACAGATCGAACCAGTCAGCTCCTGCTCACGGTACCCCTTACTATACCATGACTAAGTACATTGAGCATCCACCTCATAGCAGTAAGAGGATATATATATGCTATGCGTGACAATTACCCTACCAATGTTACTCTCATGTCTCACCAGTGTTCTTGCAAATATATATTAAAAAATTGAAACAGGACTGATCTAGCTAAATCTTAGATTAATATAAAATAGTGCAAGATTTAACATGTACCCTACTGTTGCAAATATTGTTGAAAAGCATGTGGATTGCCGTTGGGGTACCACATACACGCTGTGTAGCTAAATGCACTGCAAAAATAAAGAATTGAAAAAAAAAAAAAAAAAAGGATTAACCCCTTAAGACCAGAGGGCGTACAATTACGTCCTATTTTAAGTGGCTCTACACACCGCCGGGCGTAATTGTACGCCCTCCGGTTTTTGTTTACTTAACCAGGGAGCCCCTCCGTGACAGATCCACCTCCTCCGGTGCCCCCCGGCCATGTGAGAGTGAGGTCCTTGCGAGGACCTCACAATCACATGGCCGGGATAGCTGGCTTCTGTATTGCCAGCAGGGGGGCTGTCTGTAATGACAGGTGGTCCCCCTGCTGGCTAGAAATAAAATTAAAATTAAATTTATAAGTGAAAAAAAAAATTATACTTAGATCATATATATATACACTATATATATATATATATATATATTCTAAGTATATATATATATATACACACATATACATACACACACACACACACTGTCTAGGTGTATTTTAGTATTAATATATATATATAATTATATATATATATATTATCAAATTACATGTAGACTGATACTGATTAAATATATGTTTAATTATGGTTATATATATTTATATATAATATAAAAAAATTAAATATGTAAATATTAAAAAATAAAATTAAAAAAATAATTAAAAATTATATAGATGTGTTATTTCATTCTAACTGTATTGTGATATTAATATATATATTTATATCAAAATACACATAGAACGAAATAATATATATATCTACATACATAAATATATACGTATATATCACAATATATATATATACCTATATATAAAAATATTTTTAAAAAAATTATATATATATATATATATATATATATATACACACACATACAGATTCACATACACATATATATATATATATACATATATTAATTCTACATATATATTTATGTAATATTTTTACATAATTAGGTATCTTAATTAATAAAATAATTAAGAGAGCGCATACAGAATCAAAACTAATATAGTAGTAAATGGTACTTAAAGTACCCTATAAATAACAGCTGCTAGACAAAAACAGAATTTTCCCAATTCCTATAACAGAGTACTAAAAATATTGTCAGCACTTAGAAGATACTCCCCTTAAGATTGTAACAAGGGTGCATATATATAAAAATAATGTCGCAATAAACATCTGAACTCTACATGAAAGAGCTATATAAAGAAAAAATACAGATAAAAATATATGTGAAAATATATAAAAATATGTAAAAATATAAGAATATGTCTCTAGAGAGTCCAAAAGTCATATAAGATCAACTGGGGGAGAATCCAATGTCTGTATTGGTGAATGGAGACTCAAATAGGTGCTTGAAAATTCCTAAGGCAAAAACAGAGAAAGAGATATAGTGTAACTCTGTAACATTTATTGCCCCGGTATAACAAACAAAACTCCCCCTAAATAAGAACTCTCACAATGTAAAAAAAATGGTACTTATTCCTAAGGACCATATCGGAGAAACTATGCAGCTGCTGATTGTCCCGACAAGCTTTCTATTTCTTAAGAAATAACAATCAGCAGCTGCATAGTTTCTCCGATATGGTCCTTAGGAATAAGTACCATTTTTTTTACATTGTGAGAGTTCTTATTTAGGGGGGGTTTTGTTTGTTATATCGGGGCAATAAATGTTACAGAGTTACACTATATCTCTTTCTCCTTTTTTGCCTTAGGAATTTTCAAGCACCTATTTGAGTCTCCATTCACCAATACAGACATTGGATTCTCCCCCAGTTGATCTTATATGACTTTTGGACTCTCTAGAGACATATTCTTATATTTTTACATATTTTTATATATTTTCACATATATTTTTATCTGTATTTTTTCTTTATATAGCTCTTTCATGTAGAGTTCAGATGTTTATTGCAACATTATTTTTATATATATGCACCCTTGTTACAATCTTAAGGGGAGTATCTTCTAAGCGCTGACAATATTTTTAGTACTCAGGTATCTTAATTAATTACAATTAGCGGGACCTGCCTGACAACCCATGCCGAAAGTAAAGGGAATTTAATTTGCTAGCACTATATTTAACCCTATAACTTTCCAAGACACCATAAAACCTGTACATGGGGTGTACTGTTCTACTCGGGAGACTTCGCTGAACACAAATATTAGTGTTTCAAAACAGTAAAATGTATTATAACGATGATATCGCCAGTAAAAGTGAAGTTTTTTGCATTTTTCATGCACAAACAGCACTTACACGGACGATATTATTGCTGTGATACTTTTTGCTGTTTTGAAACACAAATATTTGTGTTCAGCGAAGTCTCCCGAGTACAACAGTACCCCTCATGTACAGGTTTTATGGTGTTTTCAAAAGTTACATCGCCAAATATAAGGCTTGCGTTTCATTTTTTTCACATTAAAATTTGCCAGATTGGTTACGGTGCATTTGAGACCCTATGGTAGCCCAAGAATGAAAATTACCCCTATGATGGCATACCATTTGCAATAGTAGACAACCCAAGGTATTGCAAACGGGGTATGTCCAGTCTTTTTTAGTAGCCACTTAGTCACAAACACTGGCCAAAATTGGCGGTTTTTGCATTTTCACACAAACAAATACTAACGCTAGCTTTGGCCAGTGTTTGTGACCAAATGGCTACTAAAAAAGACTGGACATACCCCATTTGCAATACCTTGGGTTGTCTACTATTGCAAATGGTATGCCATTATGGGTGTAAATTTCATTCCTGAGCTACTATAAAGTCCCAAAGGCAACGTAACCAATCTGGCGAATTTCAATTTCAAATGTAACGTGCTATATTTGACCCTGTAACTTCCCAAAACGCCATAAAACCTGTACATAGGGGTACTGTTTTACACGTGAGACTTTGCTGAATACAAATATGTGTATTTTATTGCAGTAAAAGCAAACAGTATTATGACATTGACAGTTAAAATGTCATGTAGAACTAAAAATATCAAAAAATATTTTCTCCAATTTATTTCATATTAAATTATGTTTCATAGCTAAATATTTGATATTAAATGAAAGCCCTATTTCCCCTGAATAAAATGATATATAATAAAGGTGGGTGCATTTAATATGAAAGAGGTGAATTACGGTTGGACAGACATGTAGCGCAAATGCCAGGTTTTGTTTACATTTTGTTTTGTTCACAACGTGTGTATTTGGCTCAGTCCTTAAGGGGTTAAAGATCAGTGCTTAAGAAATCATCAATTCGCAGTAATACCCACAAAGAATCAAAAGTAGTGTCTGTATAGTATATAATTATAAAAAATAATTTCCTCGGTAATGTGCATTATTAACTGTGCTGCGGTTGCACTAAAAGTAATCATAAAATCAGAGCAGCTTCTGACATTCTAATTACCATCTTTCACTACCAAAAACACATAATTTTGATCACTTCTGCTTTAAAACCATGTTTCAGATCCTGCTTCATTGGCATCAACCAGATCATAAATGCTTTTCACAAAATATTTTTTTTGTCACTCCTCTTGATTTACATTGCATTTGATGGATAAAAACATCTGCAGTCTATATTACTCAAGGATGAATTATTAATAAAGTGTCCCCAACAGTACTGAATTGTAGGTATGGCATTGTAGTGTTAAAAATGTGTTTTCCTTTGCTTAGACATTATAGGGTTTTAATGTATCTAGTTTATTTAGAACTAGAGATTAATTGACTCGGTTTTCTTTTTCCATTATGACATGCATAATAGATTTTCAATGATTCTAATGTTCATTATATGCAGGCAACTTGCCAATTCAGATGCCTTTCACTTTTGTCATTTTCTTTCAGTGTGATTGATTCTTTTCAAAGGACAGATTCGCCTTTCCACTGTTCTTAATAAAATTCCTACCCAGATTTGGGATTATACTGTTTTGTTGAATTTTTTTACTTATGTTTCTTGTCATGTTTTTCTATGTTTTTTTACCTGTTTAACCCCTTAAGGACACATGACATGTGTGACATGTCATGATTCCCTTTTATTCCAGAAGTTTGGTTCTTAAGGGCTTAATATTCGCTACAAAGAAATAGGAAGAGCTGACACTGTCAGGGCCTTTATGTATCACCTGACTTTTTTCTGATTGGTTGTTTCTGTGCTGCTGGAGATTTTCAGTAAAGAGGGTTATGCAAATATTCGCCTCCTGTCATTACTAAAATTAAGATTATAGGTACACTGCGTTAGCAGAATCTACAATTAGTAAGTCAAACTTCAAGTGCATTAACGTTTTGTTGTATTGCTATCAGAGTGTCCCTTTAATACAAATTTCAGCGTTGGATGTTGAAATTTATTTAGCAAAATCTGTAATTACTAACTGTGTGAGTACCAACACATAATGAATCATCTGGAGCAAGGGTCACAATTCAAATTAGCACAATGAACATGCGATGAGCGATACGTTAGTGAAGGATACAACATGAAAACTCTTTTTGTATAAATGAGTTGTTAATTAGATGAGAAAAAAGAAGACTACAAAATGTCAACTTATACACTTAAAAAAGCCAGTATCGCAAATACTTTTTTTTTTAGTGAAATTAAACAAAACTGTTAAGATGAAAATAATTCACATGATAACATATGACTAATAGATTGTTCTCTCGCTCTCTCTCTCTATATATATATATATATATATATATACTATATAGGGACACTATAGTCACCAGGATCA